CAAACTATTCTATGATTCTATGAAAATCACACTCTTAAACAGAGTGACTAGGACATAGTACAACATATATCGGAACAGAAAGCGCAAAGACAGACTGGACAGGGGAATCTTTTTGAGTTTTTCAGAAATACATTAAGACTATTATTGAAACAGCACCTAAGCAACCAAGAATGTTGTTTCAAAGAGTGACTTCAGTTATGTGGAAGATGCTACCCCTTACAATAATTTGTTTCAATTTCTCCACTTTCTTTGGACAATGAATCAGAATAAAAAGGAATATTCGGCTATTGACAAGCATTTGTCTCAGAAGCAGACATACTGACTACCACTTCTGCTCATTCGTAACTCGTTATCCAGGTTTCCATCACCTAACCCATATTTCATAAAGAAACAAAAGGGAAAAAAAGGAAAGACATTTATTTTCCCACTTCTGGTGAAGCTTATTCTTCTACCCAGCTCCACAAGTTCAACATCGCCCAACATTACACCTCTGTTCTTCATCTAAATTACTATTCAAGCTCTACAACCCCTTCTTCCAGACTTTTTTGATGACTGGATCCAAAAAGCTTATTTGTAAATATAATGTATTGAAGTACGAAAATTAAAGTTCCCAGTTATCAAAGGACAGTTTCCTCAAGAATATGCATCTAAACTGAAGGCAAGCACTTTAAATTGCTCACATATACAAATTAAATACACTGTAAACTAAAAAAAAAAAAAATTATCAGTGGTGTTAAAGGACAATTATTTAAATTTACTTCCTGCATAATGCAATATACAGAATTTCACACAATACTTACATGTGTGAATACTTAAATACCCAAAATTTCGGGCAAAACTAAAACACACATCTTTCCCAAAATTACAAAATACTGAATCTGCGACTCCTAGCTGAAGCAGGGATGGGGGTAAATAAGTGAAGATCATCTCCTGGCCCAAGGGAGTCTCTATCTACTACCAGTTCCTTACTCATGCCCTTTGGTAGAGTTGCCAAACGTTATCTCTAACAAAATAGGAAACAGTATTTTAAGTAAACTGTTCTTTCTGTAACAGATTCTCCAAGGTAGTTTGTTCAAAACCATGAACTGAACCATTCCTACCCCCCAAACACACAGAGCTTATTTTTCCTTAATATGTACACAGTTAGCATGTGGGTATGTTCTATGCCTTACACTATCAATTTACCAGATCAAGAGATACCCTTCTCTTTCCTAGAGGAGTGGAGTTGCCAAGAGGAGCAATACAGGAATGATGCATTCCTCATAATTCCACATCACCTTTTCAAGGCAAAGACTCCTTGCCTTGAAAGTAACATCAGTCAGTTCTCTACTACATTTGCCACTCATTTCAAGGTCGTCAAACAGCAACTTATCAAAAGCAAGTTTCCCCTGGATCTACACACACCATGTGGAACCAGAAACAATTTTGCTATTGCATTTCCAGAAGTCATCACAGATGTATCCCCTGCCCCCACCTTACAGAACCAATTAAGTGCTCAACTATATACATGTGCTTTCCAGATCACAGTATTTTATACAATACACCACATGCTCCTGTGGAAACTACACTGGTGGAATAAAACCACTACATATCAGAAAGAACAGGTACAAAGGAAAAAAACATCCATCTGCAAGTGAACATTTAAAATATATACGTATACACTATCACTTCCTCTCTGACCTGCCAGACGTGATGCTCAAAAGAAAGCTTCAGAACACCTCTGTCACTTCCTTACCTGTACGCTCACTTAAGTCGTCTTCTTATGTTCTATGTTAGTGATGAGTTTATCAGGGTCTCATGGAAGGAGAATATGGACATCTGCTTAGATTTTTTTTTTTTGCCTCCCCCCACCCATCGTATCACTGACTAAATTCAGAACAACGGTTTCAGCTTGTATTTAGTTTTGAAAAATCACTACATTTTAGACACGAATAAGAGCATACATACCTAAAAGCTTGGCTACATCAAGTAGCCTAAAATAACATTCTACCTACAAACTTTGACAGGAATACCAGTCATTTTCCAGTGTCCCTGCTGGCACAAACAAGATTGCTAAGAAGTCTCAAAAGTTTAATTCTTCTGGCTTGTAGCCACTTCTGAACATAAAAACCTTTATTTTATCACTCTGCCATACTATCTATCCCCTTTTTATATTTTATAAGATTTGGCCGGTGACAGAGAAAGGAAGGACATTAAAAAAAAAAAAAACCCACCACGTTTCAAAGTTTGCAAAATTGCAACCTCTGTAAGCCTTCTCAACTTTTTTTCTTCAAAGCACTACAAGAAAGAAGCACTTCTAACAGAGCCAAATGCAGTTTTGCTCTGTCTTGTTTTTCCAAAAACTGAATATATTCTTCATTTTTTCAGGCCCATTACTAGAAAACAAACATTCTAAAAAAAAAAATTTGGTATTAGATAGATGAAGATGAGATTCTAATGTAATGCTCTGCCTAGAAAGGTCTAAAGCAAACAAAAACAGAACACTACTTGAACATATAAAAGGCAGGCTATATTTCCTTTGCTTAGGGCACTGATGAAGCTGTGGTAACACACACACAAAAACACACATAAAATGATATTTTAGAAGGATATTAAAAAAACCCCAAAGGAATCTTCCAGAAGCGCTAGAGAAATAATATACAGCACTGGGGGAGGATAAGTCTGATAGTCAAAAAAATGAAGATGTGCCATCTGTTTATCTTGTTCAAAAGAAGGTCTCACTATGGTTTTTATTGCAGCTTGTGTTCCCCCAAGATAGCATTCAGTACAACAGTGCCCTTTAGTAGACAAAGCTTCAAGTTACCAAAATTCAGCCACGAAAAGATAGAAACTTTTAGGTAATGAACAGATAATGAGGCAATGTCATAAATCCACCCATCCCAGATGCCCTTAAGAATCAACACTGACTGTCTTTAGCAAGTACGTGTGCTAATTTAGCAGCAAGCTACAAGTGTCACTGGTACAGGCTTTTTTTGCCATCTGCCTTTAAATACCTCCAATGATGAGTTGTAATTGTTTGATGCTCAGGAACAACTAATTTTACATAAACTGAGACTAATTACTGATGTGTATGTATCATTAAACAAACCAAACAGATACCACTGGACCACAGCTACATTCCTTACTTATAATATCATTTTCACATGATTTCTGCCAAAGAAGCAGATAAAAGGTAGGAGTTTTTTTTAACTGGAACAAACTGCTTACCGTAACCTCTTTTTAAGTTGTAGACTATCATGAATAATTCTTTTGACAAATTCTAGTTCTCCCCCCTCAGCCATGATTTCTGTGATCCCTCCTGTATTTACAGAACTGGGAGGGGGACGCCGCGGATTTCGAGAATTTACTCCCTGGATAAAAAAAGAATATTTGAGATTAACTTTTAATGAAATCTTAGGCTGCTTTGTACACTGCTTCCTGCCTCAATCTTTAGTGGATAGCAAGTTTCACCACCTCTAGTTATCCTCCTCCCATCAGAACCATGGATAATAGACAAAGATACGTTCAAAATAAATATAACTGAGTGAATTCCCTACAATCTCAAACCTAGGTAAGTTACTTGTCACACATCAGTATCCTGCTAATATGAAATATATGGTAAGACATGCTGTTTACATGCATCTACACAATTACAATCCGTAGTGTTTAATTTCAACACTTAAATCTTTTTTCTTATCTTATTTTATAGAGTTAAGTTTCTGACTGTATTTACTAGGTATTGCAAGAACTGTTCTGAGCTGTATGATATTGCCTAAATCACTAAGGAAACAAAAAATAGGCAGGCACGATGCCAGAAACTAATTCCTCTGTACCACTGTCATGCAACAGGCACTTGATTTTAGATTTACCAGCTGTCTGCTTTCCAAACTAATTCTCTAAGACAGTAAGAAATTGTGAAAAAAAAATCTACAGGTCATCCTCCACTTTAGGAAGGGTAACAGTTAAGTTTTTCAAAACTCCTTTGGGGCAGGGAGTGGGGAGAGAGGAGACTTAAATGCTATTTCATAATGATTTGGGATTTTCCACTCAACCTTCCCCAAGGGAAGAAGTTCAATTGTTGCTACCCTCCCACTCACTGAACACTAAAGTACATGCAACATTTAGTTTGTTAACTTACCTTCGCTTCCAATTGGTTGGCAAAAAAGGGGGGGTTGCACATGCAGAAATCATAAACAATCTCAGATTCCTCTTTCAGTGCATCCATCAGAAGAGTCTTCTGTGGTACCTTAACCACTAATAGAAAACAGGAATTTGGTCAGTAAGGAACTTCGCATTTTATCTAGCATGCCATTTACGTTTCAGTGTTCCTTGAAACAATACATTGTATTTTATTTGTATAAAAACTGTACTTTCTAAACAATACTTTCTACAAAAAAAAGTAGCAAATATCAGCACGCAATTAAAGACTTCAGGTTAAAGATTAGCATATAAACAGCTCATCTGTTTATACACAGTAGTAGAATTACATGAGTCTGTTTGAAACAATAGGAACTGCTTGAGTTATGCTGAGTTCTCTGATGCAACTACAAATTCACTTTAAGCACTTCCAAAAATTAACACAAGTGTTAGTTAATCACCCCACAGGCTCCTCAGAGATAAAAGAAATCCCAGTCTAAACAATTTTTTTTAAGATACGGAATTCTAGAATGGTACTTAAGAAAACGTACTGTTTGGCCTTTCCAGACTGTAAAGCTAAGAAAGAGTAAGATAAGGCTATCTTCACTGAAGTTACACGGCACCAAGATTAGCTTTAAACCTAATCTTATAATAAAACAGAATTAATGTGTTAGCAATACGATGCACCCTGCACAAGAACTGTAGTCTTATACAATTTAGAAGAATAACAACTAAAGAAAAAGATTAGAGTTCCTTTCTGGACAAACCTTCTGCTTACTTGGGTCCAGCAACTTATTATTACCCATCACAAGGATGAAGCCAAACATCCCACATAGATCTCCACTCTCTTTCCCCAAAGGCTATATAATTCCCTTGGAAATTGTGGTCAAGTCCTGTCACACATCTTCTGAAGACCACAGGAATTCCAGCCCAAGGAGCAGGCAATTAAATATGGATGAAGTCCAGTTAAAGCATGTATAAAGCACGACTTCTTGCAGACTTTACCAGTCCTGCAACTCACGGATAACGCACATAGAACTAAGATATTTAGAACAGAGGCAGAAGGCATGCCTCCCTTCCTAACATTTACTACTACAGTTTATCATCATCCTAAGAACACAAAATTGCTAGGGTAGCAGGCAATTATCGAAGTTCAGGTTATATATAGCAAGAATAATACCTAGAAACACCCACTAACTTTAAAGCTGCAATTCTGTAAGTCACAAGCATTTCAGAGTACAGAAATTTATAGTCAAGAGATGAACAAATTTTAAATCCTATGAGAATAGTTTGTTTTAAAAATATATTAACACATTGTTCCCTGTTTTATAATCTTAAATTTCTAAATTAAACACTTAGTATTTCTCCTTATATTGTTATTCACATTGTTGACATTGAAGTGTGACACTTTCTTATCTCTGTAGATATCTGTTCCCCTGCTTCCCTTATAACATTAAAAAATAGTAAACTAATAAAATTAGTAATTACTAATTACAAATTACTAAATACAAATTACTAATTACAATTACACATCACAGTCAAAGCCAAAAGTTCTTCAGCCAGGCATTACATCAGTTGGTCTGATGGTTTTCAGGTTACAGTCTTCCAAGAAATCACTACATGTCTCCAGAAGCTGCACAGTGCATGTTTTTGGCACTGAGGTGCAACATAGCAGTTGTTGTTGCACACAGAGGAGACATTTACTTATATAAATGCTTCGAAATATCCAGCCCACAGTTATCAGAGTATTTCACTGCCTGCCTTGTTAGCAACACCCTTTTCGATTTTATGGAGGAGGGAAAAGAAAAAAAAAAACAACCAACCAACCATGGAAATAGTTTTTACAGTAGAAAAAGCAGACAATGGGGCTAAGATGAGCAGAACTCTGCAAAAAGATCATGTTAATCTGAGCAGTAACACATGGTCTATTGTACATACTTTCTAACATTAGCGTAAAGTTACTTAGAAGATGACAACAAAGAACTTGTTAAACTACATAGCATTGTTAAACCACATTTCACCTACATAGCTAGATGTTTAATTGACAGTATGTGATTTTATTTGGAACTAAGAAAGCAAGTAAAACAAACAGGAAGCAAACAATTATTAAATCATGTCGCAGAGCAATCCTAAATTACCTTGCAAGCAGTTTGAAAACTTCCAGAGTCCAAGTTGTTGAAAATCTCTTAACCTACCATTACATACAAGGTACTGATTTTTTTTTTTTTTTTTAAATACCAGCAAATTCTGGCCATCATCCCATTCCAGTAAAATAGATGCACAACTCAGAACACCATGTAATTTTTTTTAGCATTTACAATCAATCCCCAGGTTTACCAGTTTCTGTTTTGCACATACAGGAGAGATTCCCTTTGGAAGAAGGTTATTGCAAACAATATTTCACTTTCAGGCAAAAAACATTACTTTTTTTTCCTCTAGGAAGAAAGACACTATGATGCAATTAGTAAATCATCGCTGCATTACTGCTGTTTTTACTATCACCCTTTTTTTTTTTTTCACTGAAGTTAGAAGAACAAAGGCTATATTCCAACATGATCTCCAAATAAAGCTATTTGGCAAAAATTTCAAGACAGACTCTTAGAACACAACAAAAATCATGATTTTTTTTTTTTTTTTTTTTAAAAATAACAGAGGTACAGAAAGATTTCTAATCTGACCCCAAAATGCCTTGCTAAACAAGTTACTAGCTACAGTAGTATACTCAGCTCTAGCTAAACAATTAAGGCCCAGGAGTTAAAAAGTGGCAGGGTGGACCATTCCCAGGCAGCACCTGGCTATGGGTACCACCAGTGGTACTCCCCTGCCCGTGGCTCTGCAATCAGCCATTTACTCCAGCTTATCAACTTCCTCACGACAGCTTCACATGAGGCATATTCCCTTGCCAGAGGTTTTTACAGTATAGTGAAACACCACCACACCACTAAAAATCCTATAATGGCAGCAGTAACAGAAAAATGTCACTGTTCCTCACATCAAGTCCTGGATCTTGAAGATTGACACAGACGACAGACCAAGGCGACAACATTTTGGTAAAAAGGATGCTTTCTAATTCCAGCAGAACTGAAGTTTTTATTTCAGAGCTGAATAACGGACGTGCTTTTTAGTATACTGAGTTCCTACAGAAAATTTTCCAAGCTCATCCACAGACCAAGTCTGGCACACTGCTACTACTACCACAGGCGTTGTTAGGACCTCATTCAGAAATGAGGACAAAGGGCTCTCCCTGCACAAGATACTTATATGCGGCAGTGTCATGCAAATTATCTGAGGGGAGCACTCCAGGTCTCCTAGCAGCAGAAACAGCACAAACTCTAAGAAATACTTCAGTAACAGACAAAGAATATGGACAGAGAAAAACACCCCAGGGTGAAGTTTAACTTTCAGATTTTCATAAGGAAGAACAGTTCTCTATCCATACATCCCATTCTAGACAAGCTGACTTTCTGGCTTAACCACACACGGACCTTCGTAAACATTCTGCTAAACAACTGAGCATGTGTTTGGCAGGAATACGGATTCTGTTATGCCACTGAACATGGCAAAAATAGGTCACAACATTTGTATGCTACTAAATACCTTATTACATCATACCTTTTATAAGATCAGACAAGTTATTCTGTTCCACATTCTTCTTGGCGTAATTGAAGCACATATCATCCACTTCTGTTGCAAGAAAATACCAGCCATTCAAAGTTGCTCCAAGTAATGGGTATATGCAGGATGCCCCTGTCCCTGCAGAAGTGAAAAGCCATGATAAAGGCAAAACAAGTCTCTGGTGTTACATGCAGTGTGGCTGCTAACTATGTACTTTTTACAACAAAAAGAACTAATGTCAGGAAAATGCTGATTACTGATCAACTACTACGCTGAAGTTCTTTACTGAACTTTGTCTTCTTAATTTGAAATACAGCATTGTCAAAGATGCACTTTTAATAAAATAATTTAATAATCTGGAATAAATTTTCTAGTAAATGATCAAGTTCTTTTTAAGCTATTTTTTTTCTATGACAGTGATTAATTTATATAGTGAAAGCCAAATATATTCTGTTTTTACTAAAAAAAAAAAAACTATCACAAATATATTTCTTCTACATTTTTGTATTATCTACCACAAATAATTTACTTTGATGCATACACCAACCACAAAAAAAAAAATTACATTTCTGTTCCATCAGACTGACTTATTGAAACCAAAAGCATGCAGTTATTTCCAGCACTCCTGTAACGTCCTGCTTGGATGACTTACTGCTTTCCCACAGTCGGAACACGAAAGCTCACTGCAAACTCTCAAACTGAAGATTTTTCAATATTTGGAGAACTTAAAAAGAGCTGTCTCTTCTACTTAGCCACCTACCACGATGAAGTTCATAGAAATTGTTTTCAAAAATGCAACATAATAGCAAATGTGCAGAAGCTGGCTAACAAGTTTAAAAGTTATGAAAGGAAAGCAGCTGTGCACACACCACGGCATGGTAACTGAGATTACTGAACCCAAACTTTGAAGAATTTAGTGACTTCAGCATTTTAATGTCAAGCTTAAAACTTAAGTTAAAAAGGAAATTCCAGCTTCCCTCAATTACATTATGAGTTTACTCCAGCACAAAACAATCTTCAAAAACAAGTCTTTGAAATCATAAAGGAAGATTCTATTGACAAAAATAAAAGAGGTGAACTGAATTCAAATACACCATTGCAGGTACTTTTTAAAAAATTCATACAGAATCACCAAAAATTTGGAATCCAAATACCAATTTTATTATCTGTATGTGAATATAGCTCCTTGCTCCTACAGAGATTGCCTTCTTTATTTCTAATGAAAACCAAATTATGTGCATCAGTGTGCATCTTACAAATCCGTATCTCTACTGAATAGCTGTTCATATTAACCTACTGCTTAATCCAGATATTATCCAGATATTGTCCAACAATCCAGATATTGAAACTGAACAAGCTGCAATGCTCGTAGACACGTGCACTGGACAATATCATCCATCTCTGGATGCTTAGTCTAGTTTAAAAAGTATTTTGTTTTCAACAATATACAGGAAATCTTTGACCATCTACAACCAAAAGGCAGCTTTGCTAGTACTTGCCTTGGTTTCTAATTAAACCTCTTTTACAATTTAGCTCATGAAAATATCTGCATTTAAATAAATCAATCGAAGTTTAAAAAAGAGATCATTCATCTATCAAATACACCTGACACCATAGAAAAAAATTTATTAAAAGGAATGCTAGAAAATATTGCTATGCAACTCACAAACTCTCCCATGCATACATCCAAAAGCAAAATTAATAGATTGCTAATATAACATAATTCACTAGTTGAAAGATTAGGAAGAAATTACATCTTTTTTAATTCCTTTAGAATGACATTTTTTGCCTGCGTTACCAGCAGCATAATTTTTGTATACCACACAAAGCTACACCCAAGAGAGTTCAAGGCCAGGAAAAGCCAAATAATTGCCTGCTATAGCCATTCTTGTGTTTGTGCAGAGAAATCCTCCCCACTAAGAAGCCAAATGAAATACTAGCAGAGTCAGATTGCCCGTTTCACCATGGCCAGCACAGTTCAGGGTTTTTTTGTTTCTCAAACTGCATGTTTCTCAAAGGATGCGTAACGAATTTTATCAGCTAGTTTCATTGACAGTAAATAACGACCTGAACATTTTGCCTTTCCAAGTACCTATGTCAATGCCTCGCCTAAGGACTTGCTTGTCGGCATCCTGGTGACCAATGAGATCCTCCACCCAGTGGATGTAGTTCAGCCTCAAGGGAACGGTAGGAATAAGCCTTTCCACCGGGATGTCAATCGTAAGCCCAAAATCCTCCTTCAGGAGGGTACACGTCAGAGCTCTCACCGCCTCAGGGTCCTTGAAATTCAGGCTGAAAGGTACAAGCAGCAGTTGTGGGTGCCAGCGCCCTCTCGCTCGCCACAGCCCGGGGGCGGACGGACACGCACGG